TAATAGATGTAGTCTAGGTCGGCAGGCCTTCTCGCCAGGATCTTGAGATCCTGATAGGCCAGGTATGTCTCGACCACTCCACCAATACCTCCAAAGACGCTCTTTACTACGAACGTCGGAACTATCGCCCGCAGGCTCCTAACACTGTACGGGAAAAACCCGTCCCGTGCTACCACCTGCTCGCCCGTGATATCAAGAGGAGGGCGTCCGTGAAATAGGGTCAACGGGTCGCTCGAGTCCTCCGCTCGGAAGGCAGCTACCTCTTCTCCTAGGTAGCGTAACGCCCTGCTAACTGTGCCACTCGTCCCTGTCGTCGCGAGGCCCACCACGGCCTCCCTGACCGCACCCGGTCTCAAATACAAGTAGGCTCTCACTACGCCCACTCCTTGCCCCGGCCGGTGCTCTCTGTACGTTCAAAGCCACACGTCCTCGGACAAGATTATGGACCTCCACGCAAACTGGCCGTCAACGTGTCGAATGTTGCGCCCGGGGATCGTGAGCTCGACCAGATCCCCCCTCTATGAGTTCAGGGGGCTCCAAGTCCCAGTCAATGGTAGCCCCATAGACCTCTACTTGCACCCGCGGCCACATTCAACTGACGGCTAGAAAGAATGCACAAGAGGGAGGTGTAGATTAATAACTGAAAATTCTCGTCGCTTGCCTCACGCCTTTGGGAACAAGCTAGTAGGTTCACCCGAAACCAGGTTACCGCAGCGTCTCTTTTCCTTCTTCTTCTAGGGAATTCGTTCGTATTTTTTAATTATAAATTAAAGAAAATGTATCTAATTAAGATAAAATTTCTTTCTTAGTTTATATATATTAAGGATCAATACATATATAAGCCCGCCGAGTTTGATGATTTTTAAGTGTAAAAATAAAATTTGGGGAATTTTTTAAAATTTCGGCAGCGTTTCGCCTCCCCCCGTTGGGATGGGGTTCGGGCGAAGCCCTCAAACAGCGTTGCCGAAGAGGGAGTATCAAAAGGAATAATGAAAATAAAGGAAAATTGATTTAACTCGATTTTTAAATATTTTTGTTAATTAATTAGCAAAAAATTAAATTAAAAGGAAAATTTCGAGAAATTTCGACAGCAGTTTTCCTTCCTTCCCGGTGAGATGGGGTTCGGAAAAAAGTCCCTCAAATAGGTGAAGTAGATATGAAAAGCATTGAAGTCA